AGAAACGAGGCCGGAAGTGAGTTCTAGAGTTCGAAATTTACAAGAAAATTTATTTAGTTAAGTTTCGAAAATGGTCAGAAAAAGCTCGAAATTTGGAAAAAATTCACTTTTACAAAAGTTTTCTAAAAAGTCTCAAAAAATTCAGAGATGTTGATCTCGACGTGGTGATTCCAAAAATATAGTGTGTGTATGTTCATCAGGCAACATTTACAAAATGTTCGATTTTAAAGTCAAATTTTGTAAAAATTCGAAAAATTTCGATATTTCAAAGGCCGATTCTAGAAAAACTGTTGGAGTTAACAAAGAAACGAACCCGGAAGTGAGTTCCAGAGTTCGAAATCTATAAGAAAATGTGTTTAGTTAACTTTTGAAATGGTCTAAAATGGCTCGAAATTTGAAGATTTGGAAAAATTTCACTTTTAAAAGGTTTTCTAAAAATGTTCAAAACATTCAGGGATGTAAATTTCAATGTGCAGATTCCAAAAATACAGCGTGTGTATGTTCATCAGGCAACATTTTCAAAATGTTCGGTTTTAAAACAAAATATTTTTAAAATTCCAAAAATTTCGATATTTCGAAGACGGATTCTGGAAAAACTGTTCGAATTATCAAAGAAACGAAGCCGAAAGTAACTTCTAGAGGTCGAATCCAGGAAAAATGTTTTTGGTTAAGTTTTGTAATGCTCAAAAATGGCTCGAAATTTGAAGATTTGGAAAAATTTCACTTTTAAAAAAGTTTTCTAAAATTTTCAAAAAATTCAATAATGTAAATTTCAACGTGCAGATTCCAAAAATATAGCATGTGTATGTTCACCACGCAACATTTACAGAATATCCATTTGAAAACCAAATTTTATCAAAATTCCAAAAATTTCTATATTTCACCGGCCGATTTTGGAAAAATTGTTGGAGTTATCAAAGAAACGAGGTCGGAAGCAATTCAAGACCTCGAAATCTACAAGAAAATGTATTTAGTTAAGTTTCGAAAATGGTCAAAAATGGCTCGAAATTTGAATATTTGGAAAAATTTAAATTTTAAAAAAGTGTTCTTAAAATTTTCAAAAAATTCAATGATGTAGATTTCAAACGTGCAGATTCCAAAAATACAGCGTGTGTGTGTTCATCAGGAAACATTCACAAAATGTTCAGTTTTAAAGTCAAATTTTGTAAAAATTCCAAAAATTTCGATATTTCAAAAACCGATTCTGGAAAAACTGTTGGAGTTATCAAAGAAACGAAGCCGGAAGTGAGCTCTAGATCTCGAAATCTAGAAGAAAATGTGTTTAGTTAAATTTTGAAAATGGTCAAAAATGGCCCAAAATTGGAAGATTTGGAAAAATTTAAATTTTAAAAAGTTTTGTAAAAATTTTCAAAAAATTCAGGGATCTAAATTTCCACGTGCATATTCCAAAAATATAGCGTGTATATGTTCATCGGGCAATATTTTCAAAATCTTCGTTTCAAAACCAAATTTTATAAAAATTCCAAAAATTTCGATATTTCACCGGCCGATTCTGGAAAAACTGTTTGAGTTATCAAAGAAACGAAGCCGGAAGTGAGTTCTAAAGCTCGAAATCTAGAAGAAAATGTATTTGGTTAAATTTTGAAAATGGTTAAAAATGGCCGAAAACATTTGTAAATTTTCCATTCTAAATCGTTTTCTAAATATTTTCAGGCAACATTTTTAAAAATTTTCGGTTTTGAAGTCAAATTTTGTAAAAATTACAAAAATTTCGAAATTTCAACGGTCTATTCTAGAAAAATTGTTGGAATTATCAAAGAAACGAGGCCGGAAGTGAGTTCTAGAGCTGGATTCTAGAAGAAAATGTTTTTAGTTAAGTTTTGAAAATGGTCAAAAATGGCTGAAAATTTAAAGATTTTGAAAAAATTCACTTTTAAAAAAGTTTTCTAAATATTTTCAAAAAATTCAGGGATGTAGATTTCAACGTACAGATTCCAAAAATACAGCGTGTGTATGTTCATCAGGCAACATTTTCAAAAATTTCGGCTTTAAAACAATTTTTTTTTTAATTGCAAAACTTTCGATATTTCAAGGACCGATTCTGGAAAAATTGTTTGAACTATCAAATAAACGAGGTCGGAAGTGAGTTCTAGAGCTCGAAATCTACAAGAAAATGGTCAAAAATGGCTCGAAATTTGAAAAAGGGGGGAGTATTGGAAAATTTTCACTTTTAAAAAAGTTGTCTAGAAATTCTCAGATAATTCAGGGATGTTTATTTTGATTCACAATTAATTTTTAAAATCCCACGACGTTGCTACGTTTTTCCAACTTTCTTAAAATTTTTTAGCAATTCACAAAAAAACACATTATATAACTTTGTTGTGCTATAGATAAAATGGAATGTTCAAATATAACAATAATTCTTACAATTTTCAATTATCGATTTTTCGTTATTTTCAAATAGAACACCCTGTATTGTATTGCTGCATGTTCTTTTGTTTTTTATTCTCTCTTTTTTGATAAGTACTTTCTATATTTAAAGTTGATATTTCTTGTGATTTTTTACTTTTTTAAGAGAGAAAAAAAGGGAGGTAAATACAATAATAAAATACAGAATGTTGTGTTTGAAAAAACCGAAATAGCGATATTTGAATATTGTAAAGTTTTACATTCTTTTAAACACCCTGTAAATTAAAATTTGAAATTTCTAGAAAATTGACATAATGTGACAACGTCGCATAAAATTTCAAAAATAAACTGCAAAGTCTGGGAAACGGCTAGTGAGAATATATCAAAATATATAGGATGTTTTATTTAAAAAAACCAAATTGTGTGTTGTGCCTTAAAATCATTTTTCTGATCCAAGACATTAATAAATTAATTAATTTAATTAATTCGGAATAAACTATTTAACATTAATTAAATTGAAAATAGCTACATTTTTCTGAATAAATAACAAATATAAGTTTAAAGCATGCCTTCTTCGGCAGACTTTGTAAGTTTATGTTGTTTAACAGTAATAATAAAATTCAGTAATGAAATCGCTTATGAAATGTAATTAATTTTGCTATCCTATGAAAATCGAAATAAAAAAATTCGTTACGCATTGTTCCAAATAAACTATAAAAGTTGAAACCAGGTTAAAAAGAAGGGCATAAACCAAACATTATAAACGTCGTCAGTTTTTTGGAAGAAATGCGTTAACCAGACAGACAAAGACACGATTATGCAATTTTTAACAATTAGGTTTGAGAAGTTTATTGACATTTATACCAGTAAAACATCTGCACGTGTTGCCGTACTTGAACCACAGAACTATAAAATCGATATCTTGAAAGTCAATAATTGGAACACTCAAACTTGCAACTTATTAACATACTAATTTCAGTTAAAGTTCGATAGCGCTGTTCTTATCGGTCTCATAATTTCAAGAGAATTACGCAAGCCGTTTTTGAGACAGCTTCACACTTAATTCTCCAGAAAGATTTAATACTGATTATCTGAAATGACGTCGTCAACTTTCCGAAGGAGTTGAACGAACACGAATAACTAAATTAATGCTAGTGAGTTAGCAAAATTTCCGTAAGTTTGAGAAGTATTGGAGTGGGCGAAATTTTTTTTAACTTGAAATTTATTTATAATTGGAATTTATTAAAAAAAACCAATGCTGTATGATTATAAAATATTAAAAATAAAGCACCATCATTAATAATGTTAAGACTATTATTATTACAAGCAATATATGCATACACCGACCACAGTATAATAATAGAAACAAAAAACATAAACATTTATAAACAAAAGACTGACTCATCTCTGATCTTTGAACTTGATCTTGATTTACATTTCCCGAAATTTAAAGTCTCAGCATTGTTACTCAAAGGCCAGACTTTTAAGTAATAAAGTAACCACAATCTGATAACTAAGTAACCTCTTAATCCCATGCAAAAACTCGCAACAAAAATGCACATCTAAATATACCCACATTTGCATAAAGAGTAAATATTTACATTTTTATTAGCGGGCATAAAAATCCCGCAAAATTAATTATTGCGTGTGATTTAAGCCAAATAAAAAACGGCCTCTTCAAAGCATAAAATAAATAAAATACAGGCCTTTCAAAGGAGCGGGTTCGTCGCTTGACCGAACGTCGGAGTCTCCGACACACGTCGGAAATTTCAACTTCTTAGAAGTGAATCAAGTTTAATCAGGAAAGACTAATTGCTTCGTTAACGTGTTCTTTGACTAACAGAGGAAAAGTAACGACTTGTTATTATCTTTATCGCTGCTACCGAGACCAAAAAAAATATCACGACTTAATTACCCGTTCAAGACAAATATGCGTGAGTACAAGTTAGTATTCAAAACATATCATTAAAGCAGGAATAAAATTGGAAATTTATAATATCAGATATTTATTGCTTAATTAGTAAGCACGGGCATAAATCTAGTGAATTATTAACATTTAAATTAGTAAGTCAGTGTATGAAAATGTGCCAAAAATGATTCGGCCGATTTTTTATTGTGTTTGATGTATTAGGCTGTCACCGGTCAACCTCGCTTTCAGCGGTCCTGCCCCTCATTAGCCCGAAATGTTGTTTGGTCGAATTATCAAGTTTTATTTTTATAACAACGACACCAGTTATTTATTTATAATTTTTCCGTACAGCTAAAAGCGACCAGTTTGTTAATACGAAAATCTACTAAACTCGCTCACCGTAATAACCCAGTTTTTCTAATTTTAAAATCATATTTTCGAAAAAACTTAATTATTCATAGCGGTTACAAGTCGGTCTTCAAGGTCATTGTTCTTCGAATTCATTCATTTAAATTGCAATAACGAAGTAGATCACTTAATATTGGCTACATTACCATACAAATGGGTCTACAACACGCCTTTAAAAATTAAAAGTTCAAAAAACAATTTTAAAAAACTCACGAGAAAATGTTTGTTTTGTAATAATTTTTGTAATTCAACTTTTTTCGAAAAGGGTTAGCATTTGCGATCGCGTGGTCAAATAATCGAAGACGTTACTCACGATCAACTTCATGGTCCTCACTGACTAATTGTTGCGACACAAACACTTCAGCAAAGCAGCGGACTGAGAATATGAGATTCCATTTCTCAGGATTTATACCAAGCCCACACCCCACTAAATCCGAAATGCAGCAGGCTGGAAGTTCTTGTAGGTCAAGATTTGATAACGGTCGCTGCTGACATCTGGAATTAAAATTTTCTCGATTCGGTATTCCTGCTAATGCGTTTGAGTGGAAAAGTGCCAGCTTTTAGAATAATCGGCATATTTCGGAGCCGAAAAAGTCCGCCGTTGCAGGGTTAGCGACCAGTTTCGGCGCTAATGCACGGCTATCATTTGCATATTTTATTATAATTTTGTTTATGTTTGCGGTTAATGGATAGGTTGGAGGTTTGCCGAGATTTGGTGCATTTTTGGGATTTCTCGGGTGGGCCGGCGACGAAAATGATTCATGGCTTCCTTGAAGGAACAACAATTGAAAAATCTATAAATTTGTCTTCATTGCCATTAATATTCGCTTCCGTCAAGCTAGTCCGACGTGTTGCTATTGTAAGGAGTTTTTTATAAACCGCACTCTTATATGAATATAATGGGCAGCGATTGTGCATTAATAAGTATGGGCTATTGGTACCGAAATTTCCAGTAACCCATTGACACTTTATTTTATTCGTTCCTTTTTGCTGAAGCATGCCTGACATACAAAATATATTCAAATTTACTTATGCTTGAATAATTTTTTGTAAGAGGTGAGCTTTGTCTTCTTCACCAACTTTTCCATCGTCTGCTTTCCACCTAAACCTTCATCGTGATTTACTTTTTTATTTCCTGAGAGTTCAACCTTCAACTGCTGCTCTAAAAAATTTGATATTTTCAAAATTCGTGTTCCTCTTTAGTAATTGCTTTTTTATGTTTCAAGATTGCGTAACCACTCTAAAGTCTGCATACTATTTTCTTGCTGCTGTTTACTGCAGCTCCACATCTATCAATATCTACAGGGTGGACCAACGTTTAAGATTACGAAAATTTTGTCACCTCTTGAATAAAGATTGACGCATTTCGCAACATTCATTTTGTGCCGCCATCCTGTGAATCGAAGACATCTTTAAAATTATTGATGGCCATCAACCTACATTTTTTTTATTTATTTTATATTAAGTTAGACTTTAGTTTAATGAATTTTAATTAATTGACCTGTTGGAATCCGAAAATAGTTTTAACTTAACTGATTTATTAACTCAGCAATCGCATCTACGGAGTTAGGTACAAAAAATGAATACATGCATAAATAATAAAACATTATATTATGCAAATACAAATGGTTGTGGTTGGCTGAAAATTGTTCTGAAATTTATCCATGATTTATGAACCCAGCAAAGATTCTATAAATAAAAGAAACAGCATAACAAGTTGTTGTAATATTACTAGAGCAAACCGAAATAAAAACAAATGATTTATTTCAGTCGATACATATATGTTAACACATGCTGAAGTCCACCCAAAATATTTTTATTAGTGGCAAATTATACAAAACGTTTAGAAAATTCTCAAACATGATTCTTGAAGTACATCGCTTTCAAAACTAAAACATCAGGGTCCCAAAATATTTTCACATTCTTTCAAAGAAGAAACACCAGTTCAACTCTTCCCAAGATTTTTTTCAAATTCTTTAAAAATTAGAACACCGGAAGCCTTCAAAATTCTTTTAAAAAGGCACAAAGAACCACAAGTTTTTTATTTTTTGTGGAAGTCTTTAATATTTTTTTAAACCCTTAAAAAAGTATCATCCAAGATTTTTTTCTTTCAAAATTAAGACACCAAGTGCTTTCAACATTTTTTTAAATTCTTAAATAAGCAAGAACAAAATTTCAAGTTTTTTTATTTTTTTTGTGGAGAGAGTAGAGGTCTTCACTAATTTTTCTTTAAAAGACACAAGATCTTCCAAGATATTTTGAAATTCTCTCAAAAACAAAAAGAAACACCAACTCCAAACTCCAACAGTTTTTTTTTTGTGGAAAGAGTAGGGGTTTTCATATTTTCAAATTCTTTCTAAAAAAAACACAAAATAATCTGGCAAGATTTTTTCGAATTCTTTCTACCTCTTAAGATTTTTTCAAGTTCTTTCAAATCCAAAAGACCTGGAATCCCAACATTGTTTTAAATTCTTTCAAAGAGGAGCACCATCTCCCCTCCCCTAAGTTTTTGTTTAATTCTTTCAAAAAGTGAAAAATCCGATAAAAGATAACAATAGGAGTTTCAAAATTTTTGAAAAAATGCAAGGTTTTTCATGCTTTTTTCCAGATTCGTTCCAAAACGAAGCACCAGAAACCCCAATATTCTTTCAAAATCTTTCAAAAACCGAACACCCGAATCCCCAAAATTTTTCCAAATTCTTTCAAAATTGAAACACCAGCGGCCTCCAAGATTCTTTCAAGCTCTTTAAAATAAGACACTAGGACCTTAAGGTAGAAACAGAAGGGGCCTTTAAAATTTTTTCAATTTCTCAAAAAATTCAAGGTTTTCTATGCTTTTTTCAAACTCTTTCAAAAATGAAACATCAGGAACCGTGGGATTCTTTCAAATTTTTCAAAATTAAAACGCCAACCACATCCACATTTTTTTAAACTCCTTAAAAAAGATACTAAAAACCCAAGATTTTTTTCAATTGCTTCTGTGGAAACAGCAGGGGCCCTCAATATTTTTTCAAATTCTTTCTAAATAAAACACAAGGTCTTTGAAGGCTTTTTCAGATTATTTCAAAAACGAAATCAGCGGCCAGGATTGTTTTAGAAACTTTAAAAAAAGACACTGAAAACAACATGACTTTTCTTTTTTTTGTGAAAACAACATGTGTCCTAAATACTTATTTAAATTCTTTATAAATAAAGCCTAAGGTCCTTCTTTTCAAATTCATTCTAAAAAAAACACTAGCTTCCTCAAAATTGTTTCAGATCCCTTCATTGATAAAGCACCAGGAATCTCAACATTCTTTCAAATTCGTTTATAGATAAAACAGCAGCAATTAATTTCAAAATAAAACATTTTCAAATTCTTTCCAAAAAGAAATACTAGTAATTCCAAGGTTTCTTCCAATTCGTTTAAAGTTGAAACACCAGTGACCAACAAGATTCTGTAAAAGCCTTTAAAAGAAGACACTAGGAATCTTAAAAATTTTTCAATTATTTTTATAGAAACTGGAGGGGTTTTCACTATTTTTTCAAACTTTTTCTTAATAAAACACAAGGTATTTTTCATATTATTTCAAAAACGAAACACCAAGAATCCCAAGATTATTCCGAATTTGTTCTACTTTAAAACATCAGCGGCCACGTTTCTTCTAAAAATTAAAAAAAAAAAGACAATAGGAGCACTCAGAACACCATAATCCTGAAATCCTCAAAATACCAGAATTCTCAAATCCGCAGAACACCAGAATCCTCAAATCTTCAAAACACCAGAATCCTCAAATTCTCAGAACACCAGACTCCTCAAATTCTCAGAACACCAGACTCCTCAAATATTCAAAATACCAGAATCTTCAAATCCTCAGAAACCATAATCCTCAAATCCTCAGAAGGTCAGAATTCTCAGATCATCAGAACACCATAATCCTGCAATCCTCAAAACATCAGAATCCTCAAATCCTCACAACACCAAAATCCTCAAATCAACAAAACACCAGAGTCCTCAAATCCTCAGAAAACCAAATCCTCAAATCTTCAGAACACTGTAATCCTCAAATCCTCAGAGCATCAGAATCCTCAGAACACCATAATCCTCAAATCCTCAGAGCATCAGAATCCTCAGATACTCAGAACACCAAAATCCTCAAATCCTCAAACACACCAGAATCCTCAAATCCTCAGGATACCATAATCCTGAGATCCTTAGAACACCAGAATTCCTCAAATATTCAAAACACCAGGATTTTCTAATCCTCATAAAACCATAATCCTCAAATCCTCAGGGCAACAGAATCCTCAGATCCTCAGAACATCATAATCCTGATATCCTAAAAACACCAGAATCCTCAAATCCTCAAATCCTCAGAACAGCAGAATCCTCAAATCCTAAGAACAACAGAATCCTCAAATCCTCAGAACACCAAAATCCTCAAATTCTCAGAACATCAGAATCCTTAGATCCTCAGAACACCGTAATCCTGAAATCCTCAAAACACCAGAATCCTCAAATCCTCAAAACACCAGAATCCTCAAATCCTCAGAACACCAGAATCCTCAAATTCTCAGAACACCAGACTCCTCAAATATTCAAAATACCAGAATCTTCAAATCCTCAGAAACCATAATCCTCAAATCCTCAGAAGGTCAGAATTCTCAGATCATCAGAACACCATAATCCTGCAATCCTCAAAACATCAGAATCCTCAAATCCTCACAACACCAAAATCCTCAAATCAACAAAACACCAGAGTCCTCAAATCCTCAGAAAACCAAATCCTCAAATCTTCAGAACACTGTAATCCTCAAATCCTCAGAGCATCAGAATCCTCAGAACACCATAATCCTCAAATCCTCAGAGCATCAGAATCCTCAGATACTCAGAACACCAAAATCCTCAAATCCTCAAACACACCAGAATCCTCAAATCCTCAGGATACCATAATCCTGAGATCCTTAGAACACCAGAATTCCTCAAATATTCAAAACACCAGGATTTTCTAATCCTCATAAAACCATAATCCTCAAATCCTCAGGGCAACAGAATCCTCAGATCCTCAGAACATCATAATCCTGATATCCTAAAAACACCAGAATCCTCAAATCCTCAAATCCTCAGAACAGCAGAATCCTCAAATCCTAAGAACAACAGAATCCTCAAATCCTCAGAACACCAAAATCCTCAAATCTTCAGAACACTGTAATCCTCAAATCCTCAGAGCATCAGAATCCTCAGAACACTATAATCCTCAAATCCTCAGATCATCAAAACCCTCAAATCCTCAGAAAAACATAATCCTCAAATCCTCAGAGCATCAGAATCCTCAGATCCTCAGAACATCAAAATCCTCAAATCCTCAAAACACCAGAATCCTCAAATCCTCAGAATATCATAATCCTCAGATCCTCAGAACACCAGAATTCCTCAAATATT